GCATAAGTTTCATGCCTGTTATTCTATCTTGGCAAGAAGCATAAGTCTCTTGAAAGAGTTTTAGATAGGCGAATGACATATCATTCTGTAGATCATGCATTTTTAAAGGATAAGACTTAACGAAAGCAGAGCTGGGCGCGGTAACTCACGTCTGTAATCCCAGCACTTTGAGAGGCTGAGGTGGGAGGATCATTTGAGCCCAGGAGTGCAGGACTAGCCTGGGCAACATGGTGTGAAACCCTATCTCTACAAAAAATACAAAAAATAGCTGGGTGTAGTAGCATGCACCAGTAGTCTCAGCTACTTAGGAGGCTGAGGCAGGAGGATCATTTGAGCCTGGAATGTTGAAGGCTGCAGTGAACAGTGATTGAGCCACTACATTCCAGCCTGGGCAACAGAGTGTGAGACCCTGTCTCAGAGAGGAAAAAAAAAAAAAAGACTTAAAGTAGAGAGAATAATTAGAAGGCATTTGGGTTAGTTCAAATGACAGCCTAAGGTTGGTCATGGATGATGATAGTACAGAGGTAGGAACAATTTGAGAAATATTTAGGAGGAAGAATCTAGTTTAGGATTTCTAAAAGGGTATATCATAACTCATTTACATCTGAATCTCCTAAATGATGATAAATGAAGATTGTATGCTCCATTCCAAGTTTATGGAATCTGAATTTTTTTTGTTTTGTTTTGTCACCTAGGCTGGAGTGCAGTGGTGTGATCTCGGCTCACTGCAACCACCACCTCCCAGGTTCAAGCAGTTCTTCTCACTCAGCCTCCCGAGTAACTGGGATTACAGGCACGCGCCACCACACTTGGCTAATTTTGTATTTTTAGTAGAGACAAGGTTTCATCATGTTGGCCAGGCTGGTCTCGAACTCCTGACCTCAGGTAATTTACCCACCCAGCCTCCCAAAGTATTGGATTACAGGCGTGAGCCACTGCGCCTGGCCTGAATCTGGCTTTTTAAGGATGAGGTTTAGAAATTTGTATTTTATTTCATTTTCTTCTTATTTTTTATTTTTATTTTTAAGAGACAGGGTCTCTTTTCCCCAAATTGGAGTGCAGTGGCTGTTCATAGGTGCAGTCTCACTACTGATCAGCATGGAAGTTTAGACCTGCTGTGTTTCTGACCTGGGCCCGTTCTCACCTCCTTAGGTGACCTGGTCGTCCCCTGCTCCCCTGAGATCACGATATTGATGCTAAACTTAATGCAGACACCTGAATGACATAGTGCACTACAACTTAGAACTCCTGGACTCAAGCAATCCTCCTCCCTCAGCCTCCCAAGTAGCTGGGACTATAGGCATGTGTGACTGTGCCTAGCTAGAAATTTGTATTTTAAACATGTACCTAGATTTAATGCTTATGAACACTAAAGTTTTATTTCTTTTAATTAATTAATTAATTTTTTAGAGACAGGGCCTCACTTGGTTCACCAGGCTGGAGTGCATTGGTGTGATCATAGCTTACTGTAGCCTGCAGCCTCAAACTCCAGGCCTCTTGCTTCCTGAGTAGCTAGGACTGCAACAGGTGCACACCACCATGCTCCACTAATGTATTGTGTGCATTTTTTTTTTTTTTTCTATAGAGACAGGGTCTTGCCATGTTACCCAAGCTGGTCTCAAACTCCTGGCCTCAAAGTGATCCTTCTGCCTCGGTCTCTTAGAGAGCTGAGATTACCAGCATGAGCCGTCGTACCCAGCCCAAACTCTATAGTGTTTTAGAAGAAACTGATGTAGTTTTTTCAAAGTCTGATCATCACTGGGAGCCCATACGTTGGAATGACCTGAAGTGCTTAATTGACAATGAAAATTTATGCATTTCTGTTCAGGCCTTCTGAATCTTAATTTAAGAGGTGATTGGGTCCAGGTATTTCTTAGACACACTAAAATTTGGGAGTCAGTAACCTGAAGTACTTCACAGATGTGATCTCTTTCGAACTTCACAATAACTCTGAGAGGTAGTAGGTAGGTATTATGTCTTTCGTTTTATAGATAAAGCACAGATAGGCAAAGTGACTTGCTCGTGGTGAAATAATTATTGATGACAGAGAATCACATTTCTGTCTCCTCCACCAAATCCTATACTCTTTGTACTATCTTTCTGCTGACTGTGAAATAGGCTTATCTTTGAAAATCTATAGAAGGTAGCCAAGACACTGAACATGTGGTTCTGAGCAATTTAGGGAGCCAGAAAAAGGTACTCTTCTTTGATTATTGTACCAAATGAAAATTTGGTTCAGCTCTTTATAGCAAGTAACTGAAATCTTAATTATCTAGTAAAGGTGTTTCTGGGCTGGGCGTGGTGGCTCATGCCTATAATCCCAGCACTTTGGGAGGCCAAGGTGGGTGGACCACCTGAGGTCAGGATTTGAGACCAGCCTGGCCAACGTGGCAAAACCCTCTCTCTACTAAAAGTACAAAAATTAAATGGACGTGGTGGCAGGTGCCTGTAATCCCAGCTACTTGGGAGGCTGAGGCAGGAGAATCACTTGAATCCAGGAGGCAGAGGTTGCAGTGAGCCAAGATTGCACCATCGCACTCCAGCTTGGGCAACAAGAGGGAAACTCCGTCTCAAAAAAAAAAAAAAAAAAAGAAAAAAGAAAAAAAAGAAAGGTATTTGTGTCTTTGACCGTATTTTAATGCTTTTTACAACTGACATTTAATTGAATGTCTCTTTCTTATAAAATCATTTAAAATCATGGTATAGTGCCCATATGTGGTATTTTCACTTACAACAAGAATCAGGTAATAAATATGACTCTGTTGTATGACCTTCCTTTTAAATTTTTTCCAAGCTCTTATAAAACTAAAAAAAATTTTGCCTGAAAATTTAGGGATTGTGGTTAGCTTTGAACATCATTGTTTTATTTTAATAGTAAGTTGTGTGGCTTATATCCTGGTTATATCACTAGAGCTGTATCTTCTAGTGAGATTTATGTAGTCTTTTGAAGTGATTACATGTGTGCTGTGAATCTGAGATCATGTAATCTATTTAATACAGTAGTACCAGTGTTAAGACTGCAAGAAGTAGGAAAAGTAATTCTTTCAGTGAAGATTGGTTTTGGGTTTGCTTTTGGAACGCTTGAATAGTCAATGAATTTTATTAGTACATGAAAACAAGCAAAGCTCTGTTCCAAGGGAATTAATAAGATGGCTTTAGGAATAGGACTTACATAGTTTGCTTTCCATTTTGTATGCTTTTTAAATGACAAAATGCTGTTTTTTAAACTTCTAGAAGTAAGTTACTGTAGTTAAATAATTCAAATGAAAAAATTACTGTGCATTGTCATAATTCAAAGAAGTGTTTCTGCTGCAGAAAGCATATAACAGTTTTGCAGAATGCTTAAGTTTGAAATGTATATTGAATGAAGTGAAGAACACAGTATAGGGGCTACAAGAGTTTTGGCTAGTTTAATTTCCTTGCTTTTGGTACAAGAGAGGTCATGACAATTTTTAAACTTAAAAATTAGTTAGATCTGTGTTTTTTTTTTTTTTTTCTTTGTCACCCAGGCTGGAATGCAGTGATGCAATCAGGTCTCACTGCAGCTCTAAGGATCCTCCCTAGCAGCTGGGATTACAGGTGCACACCACCACACGTGGCTACCTTTTTCTATTTTTTGTACAGATGAGGCCTCACTTTGTTGCCCAGGATGGTTTCAAACTCCCAGGCTCAAGTGATCCTTCTGCCTTGGCATCCCAAAGTGTTAATTTTTTTATGGTTTTACTTATATATTTTTAATGTTTGAAAACGAATAAGGAATTGTGTTTGAGGATAGATAATAGTTTTTTAATTGCTCTATTGTTAATGAAAGTTCTCACTGAGAATATCTGAATGGTTGACAACCCTAATAACTTTATCCAGAAAGCATGTGTAAGGTTATCTGCATTTTCATTAAAAAAAAATTTTTTTTTCCAGATATGGTTTACTCTGTTGCCTAGGTTTTAGTGCGGTGGCACGATCATGGCTCACTGCAGCCTCAATCTCCTGGGCTCAGATGATCCTCCCACCTCAGCCTCCCAAGTAGTTGGGACTACAGACACACACAACCATGCCTGGCTAATTTTGTTCATTTTTTTTTTGTAGAGAAGAGGGCTCACTATGTTGCCCATGCTGGTCTCGAATGCCTGAGCTCAAGGGATCCTCCTGCCTTGGCCTCCCAAAGTGCTGGGATTACAGGCATGAGCCACCATGCCTCGCCAGGTTATCTCTATTTTCCATGTAGATTTGTACTTTTTACTGTGTAGTGGAGTGGTACAGCATGATGAAACGTTTTAGAATGCCATTCATACTCTGCTTTCTTTGATATGTATGAATGAACATTCTTTTGTAGCTCATTTTTTTCACCAATAAACTGGTTAAAATTATTTAAAATTCTGTACAGTGCTTTTGGTCTTCATTATAAGTGTGTGTATCTATTTCTCAGAGTTGTAATCATCACCAAGTCTGTTTTAAGAAGCTTACCTTTAAGGAATGTTTGTGCAGCTACATCTCAGTTTATTTTAAATAACACTTATTTTCTGTTTACTTCCAAGATTACTTGAGAAAGGTATCAGATGTTTAAAGTGACATTTAAAGGACAGTCATTACCTTTTTTAACTTCATTTTTAAGCATTATAGATTTATTCCCTAAAATATAAAATACACAAAAAAGTACTTTTGTATTAATGGAGAGCAATTGTAGACTTAAGGAAAATGACATATATCTATCTTGGTAGTAAGAAAAGGAACCTGAGGAGCTCTTCAATTTGTAAGGATTTAAGTTTAGAATTAATTTAGAAAACTTGTATGTGGGTGCTGTCTGAGAAGAACTTGGAAGTGTTAGCCAATCATCTTAGTTTGTTGAAGACACATATTTCACAGCTAAATGTAAGGAATTATTTGTGAAGTTTAGCAGAAAATGAAGTGTGCTATATAAGTGTTTGGAAATATTACCACTTTTATTCACAAATTTGTAAACAGTAACACATCTATAGTGATTATATTATGGTTTCCCTTCACAGATATCAAGTTGTTCTAGTACGACCATATAAATAAATAATACCTGAAGTCTCAGTGTAACATGGACAATTAACAGTGATGACAGATAAATACAGACGCGTGGGGATCAAATACTAGGCGAAACGCTTTTTAAAAGGTAAGAAAATAATGTAATCTTAATTAAGGCCAAGTGGGGTTTAGTTAGAAGTAATTGATTGAAGTTTCTTTTTCAGTGTATCAGGCTTTTACAACACACTGCAGGATCCTGTTTATCTTAATGCCAATAGAGCTCAGCTGTAAGTATCAGCTCTGTGAAAATAACAGTTGCAGATGTTCTTGTCTGCTAAATATCGTAGTGGATAATGTTCCTATAGTGAACTCTATTCAAATAGAGTAGTTATGTGGTTGATTAGAACTTGATAGACTGCTAGTAGGGCACATTCCAGTGTGCTCAGAGATATACTTTAAGTTGTAGATGATCTTTGCTTTTGATGATTGCTACTACCATCACACACTGCAGAACATAATGTTTTGCCATGTTTGTGAAAGGCTTCAGTGTTTGGTACAAAGGAGTTGTCACTTGGAGTCTGTTATAAGAAGAGTAGATTTTCGAGTCAAGGGTTACTTTTTGTAGGATCATGTTTTCACTGAGCTTCTCCCCATGTTAACTTAGAACATTTCTTAGTGTACTGTAGTATTAAATGGTTATTAGACAATTTTCCTACCTAGTGGTTTTTAAAGCATTTCCAGGGCATGTTTGGGAGAGATGGCATCTATAGATATTAGATATTGTTAGCCCTATTCCCTTTCTAGCTGACTACAGCAGTAACCTATTTTTACTAGGCAGTAAGTCTGCCTAGTCATTACAAGATTTTGTAATTATATCAGTCTTTAAGTTGTAATCCTTCCCCCAAAATGTATCATTATAATATCTAGTTTTGTGCTTATAATAAAGTGACAGTTTCTATCATAAACATCTACTGGTCTTTTTTTAGTCGTCTTCCTTGTTTTCAGACGGACACTCATAGTAACCCATTTAGCCAGATTGTACCTTTCTTTTTTTTTTTTTGAGACTGAGTTTCGCTCTTGTTGCCCAGGCTGGAGTACAATGGAGTGGTCTTGGCTCACTGCAACCTCTGCCTCCCAGGTTCAAGCGATTCTCCTGCCTCAGCCTCCTGAGTAGCTAGGATTACAGGTGTATGCCACCATGCCTGGCTAAATTTTTTGTATTTTTAGTAGAGATGGGGTTTCACCATGTTGGCCAGGCTGGCCTCGAACTCCTGACCTTGTGATCCATCTGCCTCGACCTCCCAAAGTGCAGGGATTACAGGTGTGAGCCACTGCACCCGGCCTGTACATTCTTTGAAAAGTATATCATAATAAATTATTATAAAGTAAAAATTGACCAGACCGTTCTAAGAAATGAAATGTAATTAGATCAATTAAATTATCTGGCGAATTGGGTACTAAAACCGGAAAATCCTTGTTGTTCTTGTTCTTGTAAAAAATACATATGCCAAAAATAATAGAAATGTCCTTTTGTAATTGAATTTTATAGCACTTTAATAAGCATCCAGGTTATCCTATGGGTATAGAAGATTTGGTTATTTGTGTGATTCTTTCATGCATAACCTAAATGGTTATGTATACTTGATGTTGAGAATTTGGAAAGTCCTCTAGGACCAGAGTAAGAGATGATATTATAAATTCTGTTATGAGAAATGTTTTCAAGGGCAATCTTTAGATCACTGCCAAAAAATACTGCCTTAGAGCAGTGTCTAGAAAAGAGCAAGTCACATTTTGACTCAGTTCAAACTAATATTGAGTTGTAAGGATTTGGTATATTTCAGGATCTTTTTGGTTTGCTTTTGATGATTTCTAAAAATCCTGTTTCAGTTTCTTAGTATCCTCGAGGCTACGGAGTTACCAAGAAGCGTGAAAGATGTCACTGTGAACAGATTCTGTACCTTTATTTCTTCTTATTATAGAAGGAGTAAATCTATTAGCATACATTCATCATCTTCTTTAATCCTTTTTTTTCATTATTTTATTTTAAAGAAAGAAATTTAGGAGGTTCTAGTATTCTCCATGGCTGAAGCTGAGAGAGTCTGAAACCCTGATGCTTAAGCTCCATTCTAGATCATAGCTCCAACTCCTTCAGGATATAAGGAAAAGAGATTATATTTCCACAATGATAGATCTTTGGTTGTACAGGTAAGTTATTTAGTTTTGCAGTAGTGAAGACAACTATAGTTTGACTTCCTTTTTTTTTTTTTTTTTGAGATGGGGAAATTTGTTATTTTTCCATACATTCTCTGTGTGGCAGATTGTAGTTTGGCTGGCTGTTCATAGGAGTATGGAGCTACAGGGAATGGATTAGGAATGAAATATTCCTCCCCCCCCCTTTTTTTTCAACAGGGGTATAAATGAAGTGACTGATTATGTTGGAATTTTTGACTCAGGAGGCATTATGAAATTCCTTGACTTCCTTTTCCCGATTGTCTTTTGAAGTGTGTTTTCATTTACTTTTGTCTGTCTGACTGTCTGCTTGTCTGCCTGCTTACCTACCTACCTACCTACCTACCTACCAATCTACTGACCATCTGTCATATATCAGTTTCTATTAATGAGAAAGAATTAAGAAGTCTTTTTATATAAGACAATACATAATAGAGTTCCCAGACTTCAAAGAGGTGACTATTTAAGAACCTTAAGTTGAATTGCATGGGTGGGTTACCAGTTATGCTTCTACTTTTAACATTATAGATATGGTGGTAATTGCACTGCTGAGGTATTGTCTTAAAATAATTACATGACAAACATGGCCTCAACATTATTAAATAGTTTGTTTATATTCTAGACAACCAGAGAAAGAATCATACTGGTAACACTTTCCAGTTGCATTTGCTCTTTTTTCCTTTTACTTTGGTTTGTCTACATGAATATATACTGGTATCATGACCAGTTTACTAAAAATTGTTCACTTAATAAAATTAAATATTATGATAATAAATATTAGCTAGAACATTGGTGTGATGGAAGATTGCCAGCTCCTCAGTTCCCAAAATAAACTTTACTATTTTGGTGATTATAGTAGGAAAAAAAGCTTATAGGCAAGGTCTTTGAAATATCTTTTTGAAATTTCTTTCTCTTAAGTAAATAACTAGAGAAGTGTGTCATTAGGTGGGCCTTTTTTGTTTAATAATTATTATTCCTTTTAGTTCTTATTGATACAGTTCTACAGATATGATCACAGGAGCTGGAAATTTATGACCTGAAACATAGCTGATAATGCTTCAAAGAGTGTTTTTCAGAATGCTATAGTTATATTTGGGTAACAGTAGATTCAAATTTATGGGAGGGCAATTCAGCAGCAAATATGTGGGTAGGATATGTGAAATCATAGGTAGGATTCAGGGCTTAATATGAATGGACAAGTTGAAATTTGGTTGACTGGTCCTTCTAAGATATGACCTCCAATAGGATGATAATTCATGAAGGTGGGGAAGAGAGGAAGGGAGTCTGGTTAATTCTAGTTACTGACCACACTCTCTTTCCTCTGTATTCTAGAAAGTGCCACTATTCATTATTTGGTAGATAACGTATAGGAAAAACTCCAGTGTAGTTGTTAGATTGGGTTTTGCCCGTATGAATATGTTAATTAATGGCTTCCCTTATTTCTAAAACTAGAGTGATTGCGTTTCTAACTTCAGATGGATGCTGTCTAAGGTTTTCACCATATACCTCTTATTTTGTTAGCCTACAGGGGTATTTTCTGAGATAATTTGTAAATAAGTTCATTTTTATTCCTTAATATTTGGCAGAAATATAATTTTGTACTCTAAGCTTCATTGTATTCTTAAGAAACTTTTTGTGATGCAGCTAAAATGAGGAAAACAACTGCTTTAGTCTATAATATTTTGCTAAGCATGACGAAACAATGTTGAGACTTGGTTGAGATAATGCAGACTTTTTAGTTTTTATTTTCTAAGAGATAGGCTCTTACCATTGTCCAGGCAGTTCTCAAACTCCTGGGCTCAGGTGATCCTCTTGACTCAGCCTCCTGAGTATCTATTGACTGTAGGTGCCCCCACTTCCCTGCCCCTGCACCTGGCTAATGTAGGCGTTTTTGGTCCCCTTTTATTAACTGAATTTTGCATTCAGTTTATTAGGTGATCATAGAAAGTATGTGCCTTTTATATATGCCTATCCAAAATAGAAAAGAAGAAAAAGATTAGAACAGAAAAAAATTCATCAGAGGGAAGATTAGCAAAATTTTGTTTAACTCTGATCTTAATAATTTTAACCAGTTTATTACCTCAAGTGCACATCACATGTTAATTTCAGGCAAGATATTTTTATAGTCTTCCATTTGGTGCTTCCTTGGCCTTATGTATTTTTTTTTATTATTAGGATCCAGTAAGAAATTAAAGGATATATTATAAATAGGTCTAATTTAGTTTGAAACTTGATGACTCTTAGTAGAATTCTGTCTGACTTCAGTAGCCTAAGGCAGTGTTTCTCAAACCCTAATATATCTATGAGTCACCTAGGAACCTAATTCACTGGTAGGTCTGGGGCAGGGCCTCATATTCTGCATTTCTAACAAGCTTCCAGGAGATGCCCATGATTGAGTTGCAAGAGTCTGAGGTATCACAAGGATCCTTGTTATAAAACAAGTTCTCTTTCAATACAGCCCAATAGCACAGAATTTGAGAATCCTAAAACTAGGGCTTTGTTCTAATTATTGAGTGAAATGAAAGCATTTTTAGGGTGTAGAAGAAATGAAAAGAGACTTAATCTTTTATATTAATCAGTGTTTTCATATTTTATTTAACTTTCATATTAATCAGTGTTTTCATATTTTAATCAGTGGAATGGTGAAGAAGTAAGATAGGCCTCACTATATGTGATTTTTTTTTTTTTCATTCAAGACAGGGCCTTGCTCCCATCACCCAGGCTGAAGGGCAGTCACATCACTGCACCCTTGACTTCCCAGGCTCAGGTGATCCTCCCACTCAGCCTCCCTAGTACCTGGGACTACAGGCATGCACCATTACACCTGGATAAATTTTTTGTATTTTTAGGAGAGATAGGGTTTCACCATGTTGCCCAGTTTGGTCTCGAATTCCTGGGCTCAAGTGATCCCACTTACCTTGGTTTCCCAAAGTGCTGGGATTACAGGCTTGAGTCACCATGACCAGCTTATAGGTGATATTTTTTAGCAAAAAATATATGTATAAAAAACAGGTTCTTAGTACTACTAATAATAGGTTCATTTCATCCAAAATAGTCTCTCTTTGAGAAGTTTGTACTGCAAGGCAGATTTTGCTCCCATTCAGATTGGTGTGGAAAGAAGAGGTTAAGGAAGTCTTATTATTGATTATTGGAATAATTTAAGAGGTTTATAGGCCCTTAATTGGGATTGCATTTTGAAAAGTAAAGATTAACAGATTCTTTTGTGTGTTGATAAAGTATTTCTATTGCCAGTATTATTTTTGAACCATAAATTTTGAGTATAATTAAATTTGCATTAAAGATAATATGGATTAGATTTCATAGGCATTTTATTTATTAAATTAGCTTAGTCTTATGCTTTTTTGTGTGTTTACATACATATTTAATATTTAAAAATAAGTAATCTTAATATTTTAGAGTGCCAGATTTGGATACATGAAACAAATAAGTTGCTTTTCATATACTTCAATTTATGTTCTTTTCTTTTTGTTTTTTTTGAGACAGAGTCTCGCTCTGTTACCCAGCCTGGAGTGCAGTGGTGTGATCTCGGCTCACTGCAACCTTTGCCTCCTGGATTCAAGTGATTCTCCTGCCTCAGCCTCCCGAGTAGCTGGGATTACAGGCATGTGCCACCATGCCCTGCTAGTTTTTTGTATTTTTAGTAGAGATGGGGTTTCACCATGTTGGCCAGGCTGGTCTCGAACTCCTGACCTCAAGTGATCAATCTGCCTCAACCTCCCAAAGTGCTGGGATTACGGGGATGAGCCACTGTCCCTGGCCAGTTTGTGTTCTTCTAAAACATCATTTGAAGTTTAACTTAAATGTTTTATAACTAAAAGTGGAAAATTATGGGACACTCAGTGTTTGTTACCCATGAAAAAAACAGAAAGATTGTAATCTTAATGATAATATATTAGCAAATGAGAATTAAATGTCAGCAGTTCTTTTAAGGAATCCCCAAAACAATAAAAGTTTACTACTGTAAGAAATGTGTTTCTAAGTTCTGATTGGTGTCTCGTACTTATTGTTCACTTGATTGCTATGAAATTCTCTAGAACAAATAACCATGCTTTAATTCTAGGGCTAGTTTTGTGATTCTTACAAGATTTTAAAAAATTGTTAATTAAAAATTTAAAAGTATGCCATACTCTGAGACAACACTAAACTCAGCCAACTTAAATATTTACAGGGTACTTTCTCACTTGTCAGCAGGCAGGAACAGGGAGATTATTTCCTTTAGTGTTTCTTTTTTATATGTGGTAGCATGTTGCTGTGTCTTCTGTAATTCTTCCAGCCTTTCCACTATTAGATACTTCTTGTTGAAGCAAAGGAGAGATTGTGTTTGATTTTTAGGGAAAGGAGTCAGAATGGCATTTTGAGGTTTGCATGGGAAGGGAGACTGTTGATGACCAAAGGCAGGAGGAAGGGACTGTGAAACTTTGCACTATTGCTACCACTGACCTCTTTCTCTAACTAATCATCCTGCATCTCACTCAAAGTTAGGCGGTAAAATGACAGGGTACTTTGTGAAAACTAAACAGAAGAGGAGCAGGGGAATAGAGACTTCAAATGTTAACAGCTCCTTTATTTTGCTTGATGGGAGAGCCTCTGGAAAATATCACCAACTCACTAGTTTACCCAAATGGATCAATCCAGGCGTTTTCTATATCCCTTACATTTCTGTCATGTAAACCTCAAGCATCCACACCAGAATACCTTTTCATCTCCCAAACCACACATTAAAACTGGCACTGGCATTTGCTATACACAGGAGTGCGAAGAAGGAAAGGGTGGGATTATATGAATAGTCTTGATTTCTTAAATGTAAGTATTTGCTTCAGAGGCTTCTTTCCCATTTTTCCGGTCTTTGGAACAGTACCTTTCACCTACTAATTTATGGCTTTATTTCTAGAGATTAGGAAGGCTTGGGTTTGCTTTGTTTTGTTCTTAGCCAGTGCAAGCTAGCATTTTGATTTTTATCTATTTAGTTATGAAAAATACTGCAAGCAAAATTTTTTGGATGCCAGATTATTAGTTATTAAGGGATTTGATCTGAAACTCATTTTGGCAAAAGTAAATTAAAAAGAGGAGAGCCTGCCTTTCTATATACCAGGGACATTTTGAAAGAACACGAGAAATGATTGGAATAGTTTTTGAAAGGTAGCTGCTATATAGGTTCAATATTATTATTTTATTTATTTATTTATTTATTTTATTTGTTTTTGAGACGGAGTCGCCCTCTGTCGCCGAGGCTGGAGTGCAGTGGCATGATCTCAGCTCACTGCAACCTCTGCCTCCTGGGTTCAAGTAATTTTCCTGCCTAAGCCTCCTGAGTAGCTGGGATTACAGGTGTGTGCCACCACACCTGGCTAATTTTTGTATTTTTAGTAGACACAGGGTTTCACCATGTTGGTCAGGCTGGTCTTGAACTCCTGACCTTGTGATCCTCCTGCCTCAGCCTCCCAAACTGCTGGGAATACAGGCGTGAGCCACCATGCCCAGCCGAAGATTATTATTTTAATGACCAAAATGAAATCACATCTTTAGGATAGATATTTTCTGGGTATTTTATGCCTATCTGAGAGGCAAATACACAGTGAGGCAGGTATGGTCTCTGGAGTCCTGCCCTTCCACTTACTAGAATTGTGATCTTGGATAGATTACTCAGTGTGCCTTAATCTTACTCGTGAAGTAGGGATGATAGTAGTACCTATCTGAGTTGTTATGAGACTTAAGTGAGTTAATATATGTAAGTTATATAGAAAGACTCATGGAACATATTAAGTGCTGTATACTTGTTAGCTATAATTTATATCATTATTGGAAATGTTAAAGAATTTTTGTCACATAATTTAATATTGGCAGTTATATAGACCGTTATATAGACCATAACGTCCGAGTATACTTGGATTAAAAAAGTTATAGCTTTATACTTTCGTTCTAGGTATATTAACTGTTACCTTTTTCTCATTATTTTGTTTACATTTTTGAAGGTTTCCCAATGAGTGGATCATGATGACCGTATTGTAGGGACTTGCCATAGTATGGCTGCTTCCCGATCTACTCGTGTTACAAGATCAACAGTGGGGTTAAACGGCTTGGATGAATCTTTTTGTGGTAGAACTTTAAGGAATCGTAGCATTGCGCATCCTGAAGAAATCTCTTCTAATTCTCAAGTACGATCAAGATCTCCAAAGAAGAGACCAGAGCCTGTGCCGATTCAGAAAGGAAATAATAATGGGAGAACCACTGATTTAAAACAGCAGAGTACCCGAGAATCATGGGTAAGCCCTAGGAAAAGAGGACTTTCTTCTTCAGAAAAGGATAACATAGAAAGGCAGGCTATAGAAAATTGTGAGAGAAGGCAAACAGAACCTGTTTCACCAGTTTTAAAAAGAATTAAGCGTTGTCTTAGATCTGAAGCACCAAACAGTTCAGAAGAAGATTCACCTATAAAATCAGACAAGGAGTCAGTAGAACAGAGGAGTACAGTAGTGGACAATGATGCAGATTTTCAAGGGACTAAACGAGCTTGTCGATGTCTTATACTGGATGATTGTGAGAAAAGGGAAATTAAAAAGGTGAATGTCAGTGAGGAAGGGCCACTTAATTCTGCAGTAGTTGAAGAAATCACAGGCTATTTGGCTGTCAATGGTGTCGATGACAGTGATTCAGCTGTTATAAACTGTGATGACTGTCAGCCTGATGGGAACACTAAACAAAATAGCCTTGGTTCCTATGTGTTACAGGAAAAATCAGTAGCTGAAAATGGGGATTTGGATACCCAAACTTCAATGTTCCTTGATAGTAGGAAGGAGGACAGTTATATAGACCATAACGTGCCTTGCACAGATTCACAAGTGCAGGTCAAGTTGGAGGACCACAAAATAGTAACTGCCTGCCTGCCTGTGGAACATGTTAATCAGCTGACTACTGAGCCAGCTGCAGGGCCCTTTTCTGAAACTCAGTCATCTTTAAGGGATTCTGAGGAGGAAGTAGATGTGGTGGGAGATAGCAGTGCCTCAAAAGAGCAGTGTAAAGAAAACACCAGTAACAACCTGGACACAAGTCTTGAGAGTATGCCAGCCTCCGGAGAACCTGAACCATCTTCTGTTCTAGACTGTGTTTCAGCTCAAATGATGTCTTTATCAGAACCTCAAGAACATCGTTATACTCTGAGAACCTCACCACGAAGGGCAGCCCCTACCAGAGGTAGTCCTACTAAAAACAGTTCTCCTTACAGAGAAAATGGACAATTTGAGGAGAATAATCTTAGTCCTAATGAAACAAATGCAACTGTTAGTGATAACGTAAGTCAGTCTCCCACAAATCCTGGTGAAATTTCTCAAAATGAAAAAGGGATATGTTGTGACTCTCAAAATTGTGGAAGTGAAGGACTAAGTAAACTGCCCTCAGAGGCAAGACTCAATATTGGACATTTGCCATCTGCCAAAGAGAGTGCCAGTCAGCACATTACAGAAGAGGAAGATGATGATCCTGATGTTTATTACTTTGAATCAGATCATGTGGCACTGAAACACAACAAAGAGTATGTGTAAATATGGTAACCATGAATTCTGCTTTGTTTATTATTCCCCAAGTTTTTCAGTATCTATTCATAAATGTCTATTCATAGTGTTTTTATTACAGCTAAAATTAATGTTTTCACTAAAATTTTAGGTTTAACATGATTTTCTCAACTCTTAGAAAAACTCCAAAAAAAGACTTTTAAACTCAACTTTACACATGTGTTCTATGACAGCATGGTCTTTCCAGTTCTGATATTTCTTGTCTCAATTAGAAAAGACATGGTTGGTAGTGTTTTTGTTGTTTTAATATGTTTTATATCATTTTTAGTTAATTTATAAAATGGAAACACATCGAGTTACCACAGTATGCTTTGATTTATAATTCTATGTAGCATAGAACAATTAATGAGTGCTTAGATATCATCCAGATATGTGAAGTCTAGCAGGCTTGATATCTACTTATATCTTACTTACATTTAATTCCCAATTAAAATTTTTTATTAAAAAATGTGCTTTATGCATCATCTTTGACTTTTGTGACTTAGAGGAGTGGATATTACTGTTAACACTATGACAGTATATTGTAATTAACATATTAGCAAGAGTTAGTCTACTGGATAGTTTACATAAAACATTTGACGTAGCTTTTCCTGATACTAAATATAAAGGAAGACTGTATCTTAAAATATTACCAGCTCTCAACCTTGCTAAGTCACTGTTTTAAATAAAGAATTCTGTATCCAAAATTTTCACAATATTACTTGCTTAGATTTTCTATATTCGGGGCCGTAACACAAAAGATTTGGAGCTTACTATGTCTAGATAATCCTGAAAGGAACTATAGCACACAGTGCTCTTAAATATCATGATTAGCAACAGTAAAAGACAGACTTATGTAATAAGTTAATTACCTTTACTCCTACAGGGTAGGCTTTTGAATTAATACCACAATCAGATTATATAGACTGTACATAAATACTTTGATTTGAGGAACATTTCTAATAGTTTTGTTGTGACAATTGCCAGACCCTGGTATGTGTCAGATCAAAGTATCAAATCCTGGTTGTGAGGACATAATATTATTTTTTCCATGCATTGTAGATAGTTTAGATTTGTATATGGTAATACAGTGATCTTTCAGCGTAGGCCTCTCTTCTGAAAAGTTTTCTTCTGCTCTTTTGAAATACTATTTTAATATTGTATTTGATAGTTCATGTCATCTGAGCATTTTACAATTTTGTGAAAATGTTAGAGTCTCGAGTATTTGGAATATTTGAAGTCTAATTTTAGATAGCAGAACAACTCATAAATGAGGTTTTTTTTGTATTAGAAATAAGTTGAGTTCTGCTGTTCATGTATACTAACAGTTTTTTTGTTTTGTTTTGTTTTGTTTTTTTTTGAGACAGCATCTCGCTCCATCGCCCAGGCTGGAGTACAGAGGTGCAGTCATGGTTCACTGCAACCTTGGCTTCCCTGAGCTCAAGCAATCCTCCCTTCTCAGCCTCCCAAGTAGCTGGGACTACAGGCGCATGCCACCACGCCTGGCTAATATTTTTTTGTATTTTGTAGAGGTAGGGTTTCGCCATGGTGCCCAGGCGGGTCTTAATCTCCTGGGCTCGATTGATCCTCGCACCTCAGCCTCCCAAAGTATTGGGTGTAGGCATGAGCTACTGCACCTGGCCTAGTATCAGTTTTTAAAGGTAGACCTGTTTATCTGCAGTGCAGGGAAGGAGAGCATATGTCTTAGGAAAATACCAAAAACTAAAGAAATGTGAATTTTTATAAAATGATATATGTTCTGTTCTTTGCTTTTTATTGTTTTAATCTTGACTGGTTATTGATTGTGGAAATTTTTTTTTCTAGTAATTCACTACAGTATTACTTTTTGTAAGAGATTGCCTGATAATAATTCTGAAGGATGATGTTCACATAAAACAGTTATCTAAAGATACAGTCATAACATTGATATTCCACATTCATAACCCTTTGAGGATGAGAACAATACAGCTTAATGGGTGCTTTTATACATTTAATATAGTGTGCTTTTATATGTTTATTTTTCATGCGTTCCTTAAGATATAGAGAGTCCTTTGGAATTTGGATGCTAGTTGCTTTGTTAGGACAGTGTTTTCAAATTAATGCTTCATTGGGTGACATTGGGGAAAACAAATTACTGATTCTTGCTTTTTTGCCTTGCTCCAGATCATTTGAAGGATAGCACTTTTTTTTTTTTTTTTTTTTTTTAAATCAACCGGGCTGGAGTGCAGTGGCACAGTCATGGCTCACCACAGCTTTGACCTCTCAGGCTTAGGTTGTCCTTCCACCTCAGCCTTCCGAGTTGCTGGGGCTTACAGGTGCACGCCATCACACTTGTCTAATTTTTTGTAATTTTAGTTGAGACAGGGGTTGGCCATGTTGTCCAGGCTGAGCTTGAACTCCTGGGCTCAAGTGATCTGCCCGCCTTGGCCTCCCAAAGCGCTGGGATTACAGGCACGAACCACTGCACCAGGCCAGGATAGCACTTTTGAAACTTTATCTTTTTTGTTTTTTTCAAAGGAAGCAAATCAGAAGTGAGATGGAGTATCATGATTAGCATCTCAGAGCTAATTTAAGGAAAATTGGGGGAGGGTGTTTGATCATGTCAGATCTAATCTCTTTCAGTAAAGTCTCTCTTTCCTCCCCTATACCTTCATTCCTATGCTTTTTGTCTAGAGCCAAGAGATGATTGGATATAATATTGGCTCTTTTTAATCCAAGTTGCCATTGCTAAAAATAGCATCATGACATCTGTCTAGTGCTTTCAAGTCTCAAGTAAATTTCTGGCAGTTTGAAAATGATGTTAAAAAGCACTTGGGTTTAAAAAAAGGCACTTGAAGGAGATGGTTTATTACTGTCCTGTACACACGTGTACATACTTTGTCAAATGTTACTTCACTTCCTTATTCTCCCTATGCTAGAAAAGTTCTCCAGGTAATTGCTTTTTGAAACCGAGGTTGAGCATTGCCCAGCCTAAATATGAATATCTCTACCAGTAGGGAATGAATACTTCCTGATAGCCAGTTTTAAAAGTAGGTTGTTAACAGAAAATTCTGAGCATGGCATAGTTGTTTGTCAAGAGCCAGGGGGACATAACTCTGTGTTACTCTAGTTGAAATTTTTCCTCTAAGCTAACAGTGATCAACGGCCTTCTATCCTAGTGTTCAGCTTATAGTTACTCTGTCTTGTGTGCAAAGATATCCCATATAAGGTCATCTGATCACTTGTAAATGTTTGCAAAAGTATTGTGTAGAGTCTTAGTCTTAGATGTAATTTATGATAAGTTAGGCAACAGACCAGGGAAACAAATCTGTGGATGTTCCGGGTACTAGCTTGATGCCTGTCTAGATGCCATCCCTCTTCTCTAGCGCATAAATCCACAGTGTTCTTTTATATATTTTTCCAAATGGAGTACCCCACTGTGAGAAAGGGACCAGAGAATATCTTTTTCTCTGGCAAGATTCCATCTGTGGATTATTTTATTAGACATGACTTCTGAAAGATTGGGGTGGAGGATCAAAAGAAATATTCTTTATCTGAAAGCTCTTTGATCTTCAGGGTTGATAGAATCTGTTAAAGTGGTAGATAATACAGTACCTAATAACTTCTTTTTTGGCTTAAATAGCCTCCCTGAATGAGATTATTTACGTAACTGTGATTGCCCTTTCTGTTTGGGAATTGACCTCTTGCTAATTTTTGAAACAGGGGCACTGAAACAGATCTCTAAATTTTGAAGGTCTGGCTCCAGGAAGCACAAGTGTGGAAGATTTTAGGTCTTAGGCTTTAATGTTCAGAGCATTTCTTCCAATTCAAAATGTAATCACTGGAAAATAAACTTCTAAATGAAAATGTGATTTGGTCAGCTGCCTCTGAATTATCATTGTGCAACATTACTTAAATAAATTTATGTTTGAAAGACCTTGGGTATCTTCATTTAAGGATTGTTGGTATTATAGCATTTCATGAACAGATAAGGGGGTGAAAAGTCAAATTTAGGGATTCTAGATTCTTGAGATCTTACAAAGATTAACTTATTGATAATGGATTGCTAACATTTATACCAGTTCTTAAGTTTCTTCGTAATGAACCTGTAAGATAGTTATCGCTCATCTAAGAGTGTTGCTCAGGTACTCTGCAGGTGAGAGTATTATTTTCAAGCCACATTGAAGAGTTTCTAAGAATTGTAGTGTTAAACTTGGTTTTTGGAAAATGTTAGTGATAGTAAATAATTATGTCCTTCTATTGCACCATGCTTATTTCATAGTTGATTAAACAAACATTTGATATTTTCATCAATTTTGGAAGCTGCATAGAGAAAATCTTAATCAGTTCTTGGAGATTTACTTATTGAGAGTCTACTTTTACTGTTGGTCAAAGTAATTTCTTTCAAGGGACCAGAAAAACTCCAGAATCTTGCTTAAAAATCACTAGAGGAGTCATCCTGCCCTGAATAAGATTACATTTGTATTGTGCTTCGTAATTTACAAATCAGTTTCATTAGTTTCTCATTTGACTATCATGACAGTTTGAAAGTAGACAGGATAGGTACCGTTATACAGTCCCCATTTCCTAACTCGTAATTAAGATTTCTAGATTATTAATTTTAAGTAGCATAATGAATTACTAAATAGGATCAAACTTCTATCTTTTAATTACTAGTTTAATACTTGGTTACCTCATCCAGTGAGAACTTATTTCATGGACTTTTGGGTTTGTTTCTATGTTGAGAAACCTCATGGAGCAGATCTTGGGGACTCAGTTGTCAGGAATTGTTTACCCTGAGGTTAAGCTCTGTTATTGATTATCTGATTATCTGATTTTTATTTGTTACAGAACCAGCATTATAGGTAAGTAATTTGCTTTATTTATTGAATGAAATACTTTCATGTTCACTATTTTAAAGAACATCTTATTTGTGAAGAATAGACTGGTGAAATAAAACTATGGCTGTAGCTTGATTTCAAATAGAGGATTTGGATAATTT